TTCAAAACCCCTGGGCTAAGTCACTGCCAGCTAGCCCGTCTCACATAATTATGTAAGTGCAATTTTTTCAACTTAGAGTATAAATTCTGTTTCCACTTGCATCACTACACTCAGAAAGCTGCACAATGGCTACATAGGCTCCAGGGCAGAAAATAATCAGTTTAAGTCCCCCTTTACCAAGAGGGGACCAATACTACATCCCTCACTGCCCAGGAAAGTTACTATCCACTGGAACCCTAGCCCTACCTTGATCCACTGGGCCCCTGGACCTACCTTGATCCACCAGGCTTCAGGTCTGCAACTAAAATGCTCCATTCCTTATTGGCACCCACTGTGGCCTACCCCCAGCAGTCTTGTTAGGGCTCTCCCATGCTCGCCCCCCTTGACCAATGAATGCGATTACCCCTGATGTGACTTTGGCATCTTTGTACGGCCAACTTTATTGCTTTAGCTCCAAGAAACTAATGCTCTGATACTTTCCAATGAAATTACATATGTTTTGCTCCGGTTTCTCAAAGGATGGGCTGACATTTGTTCTGAGTTTTTGTTTTGCAGAAGCCAAGTTTTAATTCCCTTGAGCACCTGGAAATCTGCTTTTGTACCTCTTAACTTGGTTCTTGCATAGTTTGTATGCAGCTATTATTACAGTCTGCTAGAGAAGTGCCACCCCAGAGGTCCCAAACGATTAAACCTTTAAAGTTTCAGTGATTCCTCATTTAACATATAATATTAAAAATGAATAAAAGTTAAACCTATAAAATGAACTATTTGGAAAAAAACCTGATTCAACCAATCTTTTCCCTAGGCATACGTTTCTCATGGTGTGAAGTAAAGTGTGAGACTTAGGTCTAGAATCCCTACAAAAAGTACTGAATCATCTCAGAGCTCCATGAAAACAGGACACAGTCCATTTGTGAAGAATGAATGAATTTGTGCACCTCTGAACTATTTACTATACCTTATTTTAATTGGAAAAGTATTTTGGTAGAGGATTTTCAAGAATGACTAAATGACGTAGGAGAACAAGATCCCTTGACTTTCATAGGAACTTGCAGTCTTAACTCACTGAGGATATTTAAAAAATGCTAACTTACATTAACAAAATAGTTACACGAGACAAAATGCATAAGTATTGCATAAATATAAGCTTTTACCTGAAACATAAATGGCTCTGTGGCAGAGGAAAAGTTTAAACATTTTGACAAATGTTGTTCCGGGTCATATTTTTTCAAATAAGCTTTAATCATTACAGATTTTGCAGTTCCTTGTTCTCCTGTGAGCAAAACTGCCTGTAATAAACATTTTTAAAAAACTTATGATAGAGCATTGCAGAAATATTTTAAAGCCCTTGGTATTAAAAAATATAATATTTATCTAGTTATGAATGCATTATACTTGTAGAATTCCTATACCACTATAAAAACTATGAGGGTTTACCATCCCTTCCAGATACCCCAACACAAATTATTGAAGATGGGAGGTTAAAAGGAGTAAAATAAAAAGAATATGTAAGGGAGGTTCCACAACTTTTTTCCTCGCAATTTCTGTGTATCACATTGTTCCTAAAACAATCACTTCAATAGCTTCCTTAAAGTGGACTGTGGCAGAAAGCCACCTTGGTTTCTCCCCAAAAA